AAACACAACAATATACTATAATAATATATATAAGCCAATGAAATGTTTTCGTTTGAGATGTTGTGTAAACAACTCGTTTCTCGTGTTTCATCAGGGGACCAAACACTCGAAAACAATAAAACACTCGCGCTTCGCGCGCGTGTTTCATACAGTTTTCTCGTGTTTGGATCCCCTGATGAAACACTCAAACTCGTTGTTTACATATAACAAGAAGACCAAAATCCAATACCACAGCTAGAAAGAGCGTCTTATTAATAGAATGAGTAAAACTGCAAAGATTGGTTGCTAAATGTTGTAAAATGAGGAAAATATAGCCCTGTGAAAAACGAAATCCCATTACCATAGCTGGAAAGAGCATCTTAAAATGAGTAAAACTGCAAAGTTTGTTTGCGAATTGTTGTAAAATGAGGAAAATATAGCCGTGTGAAGTTCGCAAATTTTGTATATATTTGCATTACGCGCGTGAAAAATAACCGAAATTGAGCCGAAAGTGGTTATTTTTACCGCGCGTAATACAAATATATACAAAATTTGCGAACTTCGCAGGGCTGTATTTTCTTCAGTTTACAAAATTTAGCAACCAATCTTTGCGGTTTTACTCATTCTAAGACGCTCTTTCTAGCTGCGGTGTTGAATTTCGTTCTTCTAGCCTTGATCAAAATTTAGTCTGTAGCTTGAATCAACCATTACAAGGTTGTCACTCACAACTTCTTGACAAATTGTTGAATTACAGAACGATAACGAGTTGTTGGAACAACTTGTAACAAGTCTGTTGAGCTCAACAACCTTGTAGCAAGTTGTCAACAAGCTGGGAACAAGCAGTGCGAACATATCCTGTTGACAAGTTGTTGGAAGAGCATTGCTACAAGTCTGCTGCAGGTTTGTTACAACTTGTGCGAGCAACAAAGCTCACCTGACTACAGAAATCTTTCATAGTTTGACCTCCTTCAAGAAAATTTTCAAAAAACTCTTCTTTCTTCTGTAGTTGAGCAGAAGTCAGCAATCGTAAGTAGACGACAATATAGTTGCACATTCCTTCATCCTGGAAAACCTGTACAGGAATAACACATTGATATTAATAATCTGTTAAAATTCTATACCGCGACAATCTTGGCATAAATTATTGTAGACAGCGCGCGCAAACGAAAATACATGAAATCCCCTTGCAAAAACTGCATTTAGCACCCCCCCCCCCTGCCCCCTTCAATGTTGAAATGCTAATACATTGGTAAAGATAAAGCTTTGCGAAATACAGTAGATTATGAAAATCAACATTGCAAGGGGGTGGAGAGGAGGGGGACAACATGCGCATACGAGTTTTGAGCTAATTGTCCACATAATTTTTGCCATGATTGTAGCTAAAAACCCCATCTCATGTACGACTAGGGCAGGGATGGACCCAGCATGATCTGGTAGGGGGGTGCTCTGTTAGCTCTGGTTCCGAGTTATGTCGGTCATGTGTGCCACCCGCCCATCAACTTGTTCCACTACTGCAAAGTCTTGCTTGACTACTGTATTTGAATTGTAATTGTTGTTCACAGTTCGCTTATCATCATGCTATTACTCAAATTACTGTATCTCATTTTGTCTCTAATTATTTCTTGCTTTATCATGAGAAATAGCACCCCCACTGCACCCCCTCTGGCCAGGGCTAAGGGGTGCACCCCCCCCCCCCTAGTAAATCCATCCTTGGACTAGGGGGCATTTTACCATCTGGCCAGTTACGCAGGATAGTTGAAATATCCTGAGCATGAACTTGTGGTTAGAGTTCGACAACTGGCCTCTGTAGCTGAGTTGGTTAGAGCGCTGTATTGGAATCGCAGTGCCGCAAGTTCGAGTCCTGTCAGGGGCATATAGTTTCATTTTTTGAAACTGTTCCTCGCAGGTTGGGTTTAATAAATGTATAAAATTCACATTTGCAACGTGCGTCTACAAAAACCCTTCTACAACATTTATAAAACTGTATTTTATACAAACCGCTAGCAGCTCATCGACACTGATCTTTTCACCAACTCTATCAATAAGCTCCATGAACTAAAATCATTAAAAATCGTCTTAAAACTTACACACGACACTCGGGCATGACCGTAGAAAGATGATAAAGATCCATGTTCAACCCACAAACTTACCGTGTCATGAAAATCTTCAACTGTAAATGCAGGAAACCCTAGCAATACTAATTCATCTTTACTATTTGCAGCAAAATTTCTAAACCTAAACCAAAATCAAATTTTAAATCATTGGGTATATAGCAATCATGTTTGCACAAATTCAAAAATGAATTTCTGAGACAAAGGTGTAACCAAACACTTACACGCGGCAAGTCAATATCATAACGGGCAAGTAAACGTTTTATCTTGTTTGCCCAATTAGGCAAGTTACCTTGCCACAAAAACTGCGCATCTTTAACTTTATGTTTTCAAAGTCGGATATTCATATAATTTTTTTATAGTGAATGGACTTGATCCAAATTTTGACTTTCATGCGCCAAAGCTAGATCTGAGGCAGTATAACATACCCATTAGTATATAGAGCAGTAGAAGAACGGGTCGACATATTGTTCCCTTAATTTATACCCCCTACCTAGGTACCCCATGCATTGTCCATTGTCAGATGGTAAGTGAATTTTATTCAAGGCAACTAATTTTCATGTCCAACTTCCCTGGCAAGTGGTCAAAAAGTAAAATTACACCACTGAACCTGTTAACAATCTTGCTATAAACCTATTGCAACCATAACCTGTTGACAAGTTGTTGGAACAACAACGTCACAACTTGTTAACAAGCTTACTCCATGTAAACCTGTTGCAAACAAATCTTGTTCACAAGTCGTTGCAACAATATTTGTTTCAACTTCTTAACAAGCTTGCTACAAACCTACAGCATTGCAAACATATCTTGTCCACAATTTGATGGAACAGCATTGTCACAACTTGCTAACAAGCTACCTACAAATCCGCTGAGGATATATCTTGTTGATAAGTTGTTGCAAAAGCATTGTCACAACTTTTTAACAAGCTTCCTACAAGCCTGTTGAAGACATATCTTGTTGACAAGTTGTTGGAACAGCATTGTCACAACTTGTCAACAAGTTTGCTACAAGCCTGTTGAGGAAAAATCGTGTTGACAAGTTGTTGGAATAGCACTGTCACAACTTGTTAACAAGCTTGCTACAAACCCGTTGAGGAGATGTCTTGTTGACAAGTTGTTGGAACAGCATTGTCACAACTTGTTAACAAGCTTGCTACAAACTCGTTGAGAAGATATCGTGTTGACAAGTTGTTGGAACAGCATTGTCATAACTTGCTAACAAGTTTGCTACAAACCTGTTGAGAAGACATCTTGTTGACAAGTTGTTGGAACAGCATTGTCACAACTTGTTAACAAGCTTGCTACAAACCCGTTGAGAAGATATCGTGTTCACAAGTTGTTGGAACAGCACTGTCACAACTTGTTAACAAGCTTGCTACAAACCAGTTTAGGAGACATCGTGTTGACAAGTTGTTGGAACAGCATTGTCACAACTTGTTAACAAGCTTGCTACAAACCTGTTGAGGAGACATCTTGTTGATAAGTTGTTGGAACAGCATTGTCACAACTTGTTAACAAGCTTGCTACAAGCCTGTTGAGGAGACATCTTGTTGACAAGTTGTTGGAACAGCATTGTCATAACTTGCTAACAAGCTTGCTACAAGCCTGTTGAGGAGACATCTTGTTGACAAGTTGTTGGAACAGCATTGTCACAACTTGTTAACAAGCTTGCTACAAGCCTGTTGAGGAAAAATCTTGTTGACAAGTTGTTGGAATAGCATTGTCACAACTTGCTAACAAGCTTGCTACAAGCCAGTTGAGGAGACATCTTGTTGACAAGTTGTTGGAACAGCATTGTCACAACATGTTAACAAGCTTGCTACAAACCTGTCGAGGAGATATCGTGTTGACAAGTTGTTGGAACAGCATTGTCACAACTTGTTAACAAGCTTGCTACAAACTCGTTGAGAAGATATCTTGTTGACAAGTTGTTGGAACAGCATTTTCACAACTTGTTAACAAATTTGCTATAAACCCGTTGAGGAGATATCGTTTTGACAAGTTGTTGGAACAGCATTGTCACAACTTGCTAACAAGTTTGCTACAAACCCGTTGAGAAGATATCGTGTTGACAAGTTGTTGGAACAGCATTGTCACAATTTGTTAACAAGCTTGCTACAAACCCGTTGAGAAGATATCGTGTTGACAAGTTGTTGGTACAGCATTGTCACAACTAATTAACAAGCTTGCTACCAGCCTGTTGAGGAAAAATATTGTTGACAAGTTGTTGGAGCAGCATTGTCACAACTTGCTAACAAGTTTGCTACAAACCCGTTGAGAAGATATCGTGTTGACAAGTTGTTGGAACAGCGTTGTTACAACTTGTTAACAAGGTTGCTACAAACCCGTTGAGAAGATATCGTGTTCACAAGTTGTTGGAACAGCATTCTCACAACTTGTTAACAAGCTTGCTACAAACCCGTTGAGAAGATATCGTGTTGACAAGTTGTTGGAACAGCATTGTCACAACTTGTTAACAAGCTTGCTACAAGCCTGTTGAGGAAAAATCTTGTTGACAAGTTGTTGGAACAGCATTGTCACAACTTGTTAACAACCTTGCTACAAGCCTGTTGAGGAAAAATCTTGTTGACAAGTTGTTGGAACAGCATTGTCACAACTTGTTAACAAGCTTGCTACAAGCCTGTTGACGAAAAATCTTGTTGACAATTTGTTGGAGCAGCATTGTCACAACTTGTTAACAAGCTTGCTACAAGCCTGTTGAGGAAAAATCTTGTTGACAAGTTGTTGGAACAGCATTGTCACAACTTGTTAACAACCTTGCTACAAGCCTGTTGAGGAAAAATCTTGCTGACAAGTTGTTGGAACAGCATTGTCACAACTTGTTAACAAGCTTGCTACAAGACTGTTGAGGAAAAATCTTGTTGACAAGTTGTTGGAGCAGCATTGTCAGAACTTCTTAACAAGCTTGCTACAAGCCTGTTGAGGAAATATCTTGTTGACAAGTTGTTGGAACAGCATTGTCACAACTTGCTAACAAGCTTGCTACAAACCCGATAAGCAGATATCTTGTTGACAAGTTGTTGGAACAGTATTGTTACAACTTGTTAACAAGCTTGCTACAAACCCGTTGAGGAGATATCGTGTTGACAAGTTGTTGGAACAGCATTGTCATACCTTGTTAACAAGCTTGCTACAAGCCCGTTGAGGAGACATCTTGTTGACAAGTTGTTAGAACAGCATTCTCACAACTTGTTAACAAGCTTGCTACAAACCCGTTGAAGAGATATCGAGTTGACAAGTTGTTGGAACAGTATTGTTACAACTTGTTAACAAGCTTGCTACAAACCCGTTGAGAAGATATCGTGTTGACAAGTTGTTGGAGCAGCATTGTCACAACTTGTTAACAAGCTTGCTACAAACCCGTTGAGAAGATATCGTGTTGACAAGTTGTTGGAACGGCATTGTCACAACTTGTTAACAAGCTTGCTACAAACCCGTTGAGAAAATATCGTGTTGACAAGTTGTTGGAACGGCATTGTCACAACTTGTTAACAAGCTTGCTACAAACCCGTTGAGAAGATATCGTGTTGACAAGTTGTTGGAACAGCATTGTCACAACTTGTTAACAAGCTTGCTACAAACCCGTTGAGAAGATATCGTGTTGACAAGTTGTTGGAACGGCATTGTCACAACTTGTTAACAAGCTTGCTACAAACCCGTTGAGAAGATATCGTGTTGACAAGTTGTTGGAACAGCATTGTCACAACTTGTTAACAAGCTTGCTACAAGCCTGTTGAGGAAAAATCTTGTTGACAATTTGTTGGAGCAGCATTGTCACAACTTGTTAACAAGCTTTCTACAAGCCTGTTGAGGAAAAATCTTGTTGACAAGTTGTTGGAACAACATTGTCACTTGCTACAAACCCGTTGAGAAGATATCGTTTTGACAAGTTGTTGGAACAGCATTGTCACAACTTGTTAACAAGCTTGCTACAAGCCTGTTGAGGAAAAATCTTGTTGACAATTTGTTGGAGCAGCATTGTCACAACTTGTTAACAAGCTTGCTACAAGCCTGTTGAGGAAAAATCTTGTTGACAAGTTGTT